CGGCATAATTTGATGCAACATCAAGATGCGAAATAATTGCACCACATGTATGAAAACCAAGAAAACCAACAGCGAGTACACAACAAATAACAGCACGAAACCGATCACATCCCATATAACCAATAGCTATTAAAAATCCACATGCGCCAATAGTACCTCAAATATATATATATATATATATAAAGAATATTTTTAGTTATTCAAAGTTATTTTATTTTACCAATAATTGTTTGCGTTTTTCGAAGTGTTGTTATAGAAAATGTTTTACGTACTCGTAAACGATCAACTATTTGACCAACGATAATTGTTACTAAAAATTGTACACAATAAGGTAAAGCAAAAGTAAAGCCACTCTTAATAAAAAAAAAAATAATAATAAAAGAAAATTGAAACACAATTAAAAATAAACAAATATAAAACCTGTTGTAAATCAAACTTAAGTATAGTAGAAAAATAAGTCGGTAATGATGTTAATAATGTATAATAAGTAAAATTATAACAAATATGCATTATAGCAATAGCATAAACAGGTGGACAGCAAGCAATTTTCTTCCATGGTGTAGCTCGATGCTTCGAAAAAAAACATTGAAATATATACAATATGATGGTACACTGCTCTGTTAAGAGGTCAAATTTTCGCACCAGATTGAAATTCTTGTCATTAATCCTCACAAAGTTTTATTTTTATGAATATTTAGTACACTTCATAGTGCTCAGCAGTACGATATAGTGCCTAGAATTTGCATGCAATAAAAAGGTCGAAAATTTGACAACATTTATGAAGAAACATCGATTAGTTGGAAGTGAATCGGAGGAACATCACTTGGTTGTTTTCTTGAGTACTCAGCATTTTACGTGAGCACTTATCACATACAAGAGATATTTTTACAAAAGATCACATCTAACCATAAACAGGACCAATCGTTTTTTTTGTACTGGTTCCGGTTACAATCAGGAAAATTTGTAGTTCTGATTTCCCCTTAGTAATACATGTACTGGTGAAAAGTACAATATCGTTTTCTAGTAGGATCAATGAGCTCGAGATATCTTGCATGATTTGCATGATCTTTAATATCCTTTCTTTCGTAAGTTTATTACTTTTTTTTAATTCACTAATACTTCGTCTATTCTACACGTGTATGTGTACGACAAATATTGCTTGCGAAAAGAAAACGATTATTTTTTCTATCGAAATTGTAACACTAAATAATGAAGTGATCGTTACTCAATAATTTTCACAAAAATTTTTCGAACACATAAGTCGTGAGAATATGACATTTGATGCAAGATTTAGACGACCATACAAGACACGACTTCAGAATAAAAAGTATTGGTTCTGGTTTCTCTGGGATCGAACTGGGACCATCTTATCCACATCTAACCACACTACTTCTAATAGGATCAAAGCAGATTGCTAAGCACTACGAAGTGTATCACATTTTTATATGAGGTCGGATTTTTAGGAAAGTTAGCGAGATAAATTTGAATCTGGGTCGAAACTAGTGTAATTCATTCTGTTGTTTTTTTTCTTTATATACTTTCGGTGGACGTGGTGGTATATGTTTATTAAGAAAAAGACGTTCTTTGTTTGAAATACGTGGATGTTCATTTGGAGCATTAAAACCAAAAAAACACCAACAAATAAACCATATACATGATAGAATACCTAGTCATAGAGAAATATTTTTGTTTATTTTCTTCTTCTTATTATTATTATCATACCAAAAACATAAAATGCTGATGGCCATCCACCAAGAAATCCATTTTGAGCCATTATACTAACTAGTAGCGTTGTGAATATTATACCCATATTAGTACCAACCTGAGCTGCCGGTGGAACAGTACTACGTTCAGATGCTGGTATCTTTTCAAATAGAGCAAAAAAGAAAGTTGAATATTTTCGATTGATTAATTTGTTACCCATTTGCCCCAGAGAGCTGCTGCCGATGGAAATGCTGGACCAGAAGCCATACCAATTACTACTCTAATAGCAATGAGTAGTTGATAATTAATACGAGCTGCAAGTGGTGTTAAAAGTGTTAGAATACTAGCTATAAATATTCCTCCACCAAATATCCATTTCCCACCAAATTTCTCTGCTAAATTTCCTATAAACAATACGTTTCTATATAGAATTCATCTGAAAACATTTTTGTTACCTCCAATCCTAGAAAAGATCTATGATTTAAAAAAAGTACGAAGAATATATTTTAAATTTAACTTACACTTGAGTAGAAATATAACCATAGAAAAATGCACCTAGAATGAATCCTTCTTTAGATGGATCCCAATCAAATTCATATTTCTATTAAATTAATATCAATAAAAGATAGAACAAAAAAAAAGAAAGAAATAGAATATCTACTGGTATAGGTTTTGTTGAATTTTTTTCGACTGTTGGACATGCTTCAATTGATTGATTTAATGCACTTTGTGGTGCTACCTAAAAGAAATATTTCAAAATTCTATATCTTAAATAATCAATTTACTAACCATAGCAACAATAGCTACAGATAAATTAACTCGCATTGCATATAAACAAAAGAAACCAAAGAAAGCCCACATAGCAAGGGCATAACGTGCAGGTAAATTTGAACATACATTAAAACCTGATGAAGATTGTTCTACTTTATATTCATCTAATAAAGGTTGAGTTTCTCTTTCCGAGTCATCGATTGTACTGTTGTCGATTAATGAATCTTCAGATGTATTTACTATAATTTGATTATATTGTTGGTCTGAAGATGAAGTATCAATTGTTTGTTTATTCATTATGTTTGATTCTATTCGATGAATTGATATTAGTCTGTTTCGAACATCTTCAATATCAAGTGTGATATATTAACTGTAACAAACCAAAGAAAAGAAAAGTTTTAATGATAAGATGAAACGGTAACAAAACAGAACAAAACATACAGAGAACAGCTCACACCTTTCTTATGTTATCAGATATGTAAGTATTTATGTTTGTTTTAAACAATCATTGTGTCAATATATGAGACATTCTTTATTTCATAAAAACAAGATATATCAATGTAAACTTTTAACTTTTAGTAGCAATGTTTATCAAAATTTCTATATGAATTTATCTGGTAAGTATACTGAATGTTCTTACTGAGAACATTCAAATAGGTACTTGAGTATTTATCGAAAGCACCTAAATATACAGAATTTGATTAATTTTATATAAGCAGAAAAACAGATAAGCAACAGCATTGAAAAATCGACTAATTGTCTTATGATAGCATATGACTTCCTCAATGGGTTGTCTTTTATTGTAATACATAAAAAAAGTGATGATTAAGAACAATTACTTAAGGTCGATAAACTAATATTTCAGTGTATTTTTAATTGTCTTTTATTTTTTCTTTTTCAATAATCAACATTTGATTCGAATTTAGCTGTTTTTTTTTGTGAGAAAATATTCAATAGTCTCTACTTTAGTTTTTCAACACTTTTATTCTGAACCAAAGTTGGGACGATCTTTTTAGATGCAATTAGAAAATATTTCAAAACATTTTGGCAATTGAAACTTTTTAATAGAAAATTTTCTATGAAATAACTTATCTACTTTACAGTAGATATGATTAAAGATGTGCGAGACTATGAGAAGAAAATTGCCGAAATCAAAACCCAAGTTTATAATAAAATATTATATAGTTTTAAACAAATTATCTTATAAAACAGAACATAATTCAAGAGAGATCACTCAATTCTAGAACAGTTTTCTCTAGAGCGGGACTCAAAAAAAAATCATCGGGATCGGAACCACTAGAAAAAAGTTGCTGGGATCAGTACTATGACTGCGATCAGATTGCGACCAAAAAAAACTTAGTCTCGCATATTTCTAGATACGATGCACATGTCAACTCTCTATCTCCGTATTTACATAGAGAAATTTTTTTTTGAACTATGGCATTAGATCATTGAGACAACGTTCCTAAAGATAATTTTCAAAGATAATCGCTGATTTGAGAACGTTATTCCAATGATATAATGTCGTAGTTCAACAAAAAATTTCTTCAAGTAAATATATAGATAGAGAGTTGGCATGTGTATCATGTCATATCTATCATAAAGCAGGCAAGTCATGGTATTCATTTAGTTGATGTTCCTCCCTCGTAAAAAGTGTTTCGACGTGTGATGTTATAACATCAAACGGTGGAACACTTTTTATGAGGAAAAATAACAGCTTTAATATTACCTATAGTCTATATTTTTTCCTATTCGTTCATATGGATTCTGGTTTTTTTTTCTAAACATTTCAGAGAAAAATAATTTTATTTGAAAATCATACAAAAAAGTAATCACTTCTGACTGTTATAAATCCAGTATAAGTACGACTTGAATTGCTCAATTGAATTTATATACTACAAGCAACAAGCTATGTCAAAAAATAGGAGTTACACTTAAAACAAAATCGTATGAAAAATTTTGTCCATCATTGTACAATCTATTGATTAATTCTTTTTTTGGTCGTGTATTTAAAATAAGAAATTAAAAGAAATCTTTTTCAAATATTTGATAGTATATATTCTCGAATTTTATTTTTAATAATAATATGACTATAGACCTTAACTTTAATTGGACGAATTTCCACCATTTATAATGTTTTCAGGCCTTCATTTTAATTTTATTAATCGATTGTATTTGTTAATAACTAATATAATCAAATCTTGATTTATGAATTATTTTCTAAGCAAAAAAAAATATAAATAAATATTTCAAGAAAAAAATTCTCATTGAAAATGTATATACGTGTCATATTGGATGATAATATCGTCTTCTATTGTTTATATAGGATAGAGAGCTGATACTCCTTTTTTTCTCTCTCTCTTTTCAATTCTTTGTTATCATTTTCGTCCTAGAATATGTGTGCGTAGGACGAAATTTAATTCCAGCTGTTGTCTTTTAATATCCATTATTATTTTCATTTTTTCTTCTTCTTTATTTGATTTATATTCATTCTTCTTTTACATTTTTAGATCGTTTACCTGTGTATGTGTTGTGTGAGTGAGTGTGCATATAAAACCAAAGAAAAAAAAAGTGAGCAGAATAACTAATCGAATAGATAAAACGAAAAATAAAACGCAATTGAATTTTCATAAAACATGATTGACTGGTTAGCGATTCTCATTGCTTTGGTAATAACTACAACATTAGTGGGTTTTTTTGGCTATTTGGCATGGAAAATTAATATGTCTAATTCATTAACACTTGATAATAATAATCAATTTTTGGATTCAACAAATGATAAGAAGAACAAGAAAGATAAAACAACTATTGAACATTCAAAGAAAAAACGTAAAGATCAAAAAAAATCTAAACGTGAAAATAAAGATGATGAACAACAACGAAATAAATCTAAAGAATTAACATTACAAACAAGCGAAGAAACAGATGATGAACGAGATGAAAGTGAACAGGTAAATAAAATAAAATTTTCTTTTTTTTTTCAAAAAAGAAAAAAAAAATTTATATTAGGAATTATTGAAGCCATCATCACAACCTATTGAAACATCATCTAAAGCTCGTAAACGTAATAAAAATAAATCTGTTACACCTACACCACCACCTACAACAACAACAACTCGTGTTGAAGATAAAGTTAAAGATGAAAAAAATCTAAATACAACTCGAGCACCACCAGTAACACATCCAAAATCAATAGCTAAAGATGAAGTTGAATCAACTAAACAACAATCAAATGTTCCAATTAAATCATCAGAACCATCAAAAAAACAAATATTTCCTATTTCTTCACAAGCAATAACTAAAAAACCAACACAATCAATTCAAGAACAACCATTTACAGTTGTTGGTGGTAATCGACATAAGGCAGGAACACCACCATTACAACAACAACAAAATAAATTAGTAAGAAGTCTTTAAAATGTTTCATTTTACAAAGTACAGCGACTTTTTCAACAAATATAGTAGTACTATTATTCTATCTAAGACTTTAACGAATCAGTTCATTGACTTCTAAAAGTTGTATGTGTTTCTGTGTTAAGCAATTATGGTAGTTAGTCTATCCAGTTAAATAGAATAATCGTATACAAAATGATCGAGTTTATTCATTTGAAACAGATGGTAGTCGTCAGCTAAAATCAAGCGCGTTTTTTTGTGGAGAAAAAGGGTTTTATTACATTTTAAACACTTATATCATTCGAAAAAAAAACGGATCAAAAGCATCTTCTTTTGTTGTCAAAGCTATAAAAACTATACAATTTTTTTTAGTAGATCTAGAAAAAAAAGTCGTTGAGTATGTTATCTGTGGACAGGCTGTAGATATTTATTATAACCAAGTATTATATAATTACTAGGGAACTATTCAATGTGATTAAAACGTTTTTTGAATTCATAATTAATAAACCTAAAAGAATATAATCTCATGTTACCATTTAGTTAATATATATAGAAGCTTTATTAAAATCTCTCTGAAGAATTCTAATATTTCAGGAAAATTATATTTTCGAAATTTTTGTTCATATCAATGCCTTAAATAAACTAGTTTATTATAAAAAAAACAAGTATATATGTTCCTTATTCTGTTGAAGTCCAAATCTAGATGTACGAGGCAATGGTATTGCTGAAAAAGATGAGAATTTTTCTCGAAAGAATAACTCAACTTAGTGTTTCATTCAACTGTGTATAAAACTTCGAACAGGTCAAAATTTCAATTTTTTCGATCTGATTCAGTTTCTATAAAGTTAAATGAAATTAAGGTGACTTATTCTCGAGAAAAATTCTCATCTTTCTCAGCAATATATCTATCTCAGTACATGCCTAGATGATACTACGTTGAAAACATCAGGAGATAGTATAATTAAAATTTTGATGTAACCGAAGTTTCAGAATAAAAATTCGAAAATATAATTTTTCTCAAAAGAGGTTTTAATAAAATTTCTATATATATATTAGCCAATATTCTTTTAGGCTCTTTTACTTTACAAGTTAGGAAGCTGCAGGTTCATGTTGTTATGGATCCGGCAGAAATTAAATATCTACGTTTGAGTCTATGTTTGGAAGAACCCTTAAGTTCCATACTTCGAATTCTGTCGGATGATTTTTTTGTTTTTGTTAGTAAAAATTTTCTATTTATGAAAAATTGTTTGTTTGAGCTCGATAGACTCGAATTTGATGGAAATTTTCGAAACAAAATTATGTTTTGATATTTGTCTTTTTTTTCTAGCCAGTAAGCGCAGTATCAGCGCCTGCTCCTCCTGTACAACCATCTACTTCGGTTCAAGTTCAACATGATCAATTAGCTCAACGTCAACAAGTTTCTCAAAAAGAAATATCAACACAATTGAATGGTGTTTCTACAAATTCGTTACCTCTAAAACAACAACAAATGCCAACAAAAATTGCCGATCTCATTAAGGGTAAAATTTCTCTATGATTTCTCTTCTATTCTATTCAATAATCTTCATAGTTCTACCATCATCTCAAGTTGTTGTTACTGAATTAATGTCTGCACTTGATGCATTTCCTTTATCAACTGATGAATTAGATATAATTATGCATAAAATTGCAAATAAACAATCTGTACTTAGACAAGATTGGAATAAAGTAAGGCAATGAAAAAAAAAAACTATATATTATATATGTTTTCTATTCAAATATTAGTTACAACATGGTCAAAAAGTTGATCCACAAGCACATATTGGTCAAGTTATGGATAAATCAGCTAAAGCTTATGAAGATGGTATTATAATATAAAATTTTTTTATTCTATTTCTTTTTTTTTGCTTTTTAAAGAAATGAAAAATAATGCTATGAAACATATAAAAGAATTAACTGATGAACTTAATGCCGAAAAACTTCGTAATAATGTTTTATTAAAAGAAAAGAATGATAAAGAACATGATATTCAAATGCTTCATGTTCGATTAAATTCTATTCAACATAAACATGAATCAATAAATGCACATCCTCAACAACAACAACAACAAATTCAAAAACTTGAATTACAATTACAACGTGTAACAGAAGAAAATATTCATTTAAATCAACAATTAGCGCAACATCAACAACAACAACTTGTAGCATCTAATTTAATTCATACTGGAGATTCATCAAATTTAAGAATACAAGTATTAAGTGAACAAATTAAAAAATTATCAGTTGATAATGCTCATTTGGAAAAAAAAGCTAAAAGCAATGAATTATTAGCTCATGAAGCACAAAAAGAAAGAGAAGATTTAATTCGGTAAGAACAAATATCCAAAGTCTTTTAGTCTTAAATAAATATTTAAGTGTTTAAAACTTATTCGTAGTAATCGATATCGAATATTTTACCTATGAAAATTGAAAGACGAGTGGACATACCACGATGATTTTTGACCCTAGAACGAGATCTATGTAAATTACTAGAGAAAGAAACTTCTTCTATCTAATGGTGTATGTATTATCAAATTCTATTGTGTACCGCTGAGATGTTAATAGAGGGATATCATCTCTGTTGTATTCGGCTGTCGACACAGCGAAAGTAGGATCCTCTGTATATGTTTCGACGGTATGCAATAAAACTTGATAATATATACATCATTAGATAGAAGAAGTTTCTTTCTCTACTAACCTACATATATTCTGTTTGCGAGTCAAAATTTTATAATCGTCTTTAGTATTTGAGAATCCTACAGATCACATAAATAATGCTGGATATTACTTGAAGCTTGAACTTACAAGAAGTATCTGATCATATATAAATCAGTAAACAGAATCATGAACATGATTAACGCGAGAACATTCCCAACTGTCACATCGCTTTTGAGTCGAATGTATGCGCATCATGTAGGCCCTAATGATCTATGAATACTCTGAAAAAAGTTCGTGCCGCTTGCTTATTACTATCGAGATATTGCATTTTTACTGAATATTTAAGAAAAAAGCCGTAGTCCTAAGATACAGCTATAGTAAAATAGCTTATATACATCAGCAGATTCCAATGTTCTTATTTCAGACTAGGAGCAATCAAAAGATCTGATACTTTTGCAATAAACTTTCTCATTGAGACCTGGCCCTGTACAAAGTTTCAAGTTGAAATTCGAAACTCAGTTTTCCTAGGGTTCCTGAGGGAGATCACGACTTGTTTCTTAAACACTCAGTAAAAATGCAATATCTCGATAGTAATAAGCAAGCGGCACGAACTTTTTTCAGAGTATTCATAGATTATAAGGGCCTACACGATGCGCATACGTTCGACTCAAAAGCGATGTGACAGTTGTGAATGTTTCCTCGTTAGTCGTTACATAATCTTCGACGACTAAAGCTCGTAAAATTACCGTTCAGATTACAAGTTTTCCAGCAAATATTGTCGTAAACCTAATGAATCGTAGTGTATTCAAAAGTACAAAACTCGAGTTATTCAACTAAATATGAAACTCGAAAATCATTAGTCTAGACAAAAATTGAAATATTTGAGTAGATGTAAAGGTTTAAATTAATTGCAATATCATTTAGTTATAATGAACAATTAACTCAATCACTTCAAAATGTTGAAAAAGATTTAAAACATGTGGAAGAAAAACATCATAAAAAATTCAATGAAACTCAAACATTACATATGAATGATATCAATGAATATAAACGTCGTATTGAACAACTTGAAAGAGATAATGAACAATTACGACGTGAAGACATAGTTCATGTTGAACCGACAGCAGTAACAGATATACAAACAATAGCAATAAATAATGAAGAACGTGAACAATTAGAAAAAGAAATTCATCAATTGAAACAAATTTTAAATTTAAATCAAGAAAAAGAACGAGAATATAATGATTTAAAACAAAAATTAATTGAAGAAATTGAAGAATATAAAAAGAAAGTTGATGATTTACAAGTAAATTTAATTTAATTTCATGTTATTTGTTTTTTTTTACAATTTCAATTTTTTTATTTAGATTCAATATCAATTTGAAGAGAATGAATTACGACAAGAAATTGAACGGCTTAAACAAGTATGATAGAATATTTAACAAGTTATATTAAATTTTATTCTTATTTTTTTTTTATAGAATAAAAATTATGAACAACAACAAACTGCTGAGTAAGAATAAAATAAATAAATATTAGTATAAGAAAGAAAAAGAATTTATTTTAATTTAAGATCTTATAATAATGAGCTTGCTGCTAAAAATATTGAAATCGGTACTTTACGAACTGAACTTAATGAAGTCAAAGTAATAAAATAGATCTAATCAAATCTTTTCATTATTTTTTTTTTTCTATTTATTTTAGTCAATAATTTCACAATCAGAAGAACGTCTTCGTCAAGAACATGAAAGACAACGAGAAATTTTAACTGATCTTCTACCATCATATATTCGAAATCAATTACCTCATGACAATCAAGTAAATATAAATTTCGTTATATACATTTTAATAAAAATCCTATGTTAAAATTAAATCATTAATTGAAGAGAAGTTTAGTAAATATTTATTAAAACAATTCTAAAAATCTTTCATATTATTTTTTGATGTAGTTTTCTCTTGGCTATAATTAGAGTCTCAAAAGTAAGAGTCTACCAGTAATCTCAAGCATTGTATTTATAAATCGATCAATGTCATACTAAGATATTTTCTTTTGAAGAGGCAATCACATAGCTTTTTAGTGCAATAATTATTAACTTTTAAGAAAGTTCCTCTTTCTCTGTACATATTTTGAAGAAAAAACACATGATGTTTTAGAAGTTCTTGCAAAGTATTGCTATCAAAAAAAAGAATAAATTTTTAATTTATGATAGTCTTCATATCCGACAGACTGAATTTTAAAACGGTGAAAATCAATCGATTGACTAGGTTTTTTTGTTGCTTATATACAATCAAAAATTAACAGTTATTATTAAATTTATTTATAAACAATTAATTAATAATCTGTTTTTTTTTAAAGGATTTTGATCAATGGCTATCGTCATATCGACAACTATTTGAATCAAGCATCGAATCAAGCAAGGTAAAGTCCACTTTAGTTCAATGGTTATAATCATATGAATTCAAGTTCGAATCTATACTTGTTCACATATAATATCTTTCATGTAATGATGAAAAGTTTTAATCCATCTGATAGCATAAATGATATGTCTTATTCAATGCCTTGCCCGTGCCACTCTATATACACATTTGTATATCCTTTCCGAGTATCAAGGTTCTCTTGATTACAGTATAGAAAGTGATATATGTTGTGTTCAGGCCAGTCGCATAATGAGGTTCGTAATAGGCATAATCGTTTATGTAAAGATTTGAAAACAAGGCACCTGAACTAGAAAGATAATTATGCGTTCGATATATTTTGTTCTTCTTATCTAATTAATTCATTTTGTTATATTTTAGAAAATTTTACAAGAAGAATCTGCAGCAGTTAAACTTGAAAATGATCAACTTCATAAAAATATGAAGGATGTTGTAAGAAAAAAAAATTACTTATTATTTTTTTATCTTAAATTTAATTATTCATTAATATCTAGGAAAGTCATTTAAGAGAAATTGAAAAAACTGTGCAATATAAAGAAGAAACATTACTTACTGAATTAAAAAGTGTATGATTCATTATTCAATAATTTGTTCATTTTTCTTTTTTTTTCTTTTTTATTAATTCTTTCTTGTAGAAAGATGCTACACTTGAAAGTATTCGTAATGAGAATGATCAATTGAATGATGAACTTCAACGCCTTCGTAATGAAATTCAACGTTTACAATCAGCATATGATACAACAGTCAATGAAGTTTCTGCATTAAAACTTCAACTTGATGATCGATTTCTTGTTGCTGCTAACACTCCACCTGTTGATGTTGTAAGAAAAATTTTTGTTTGATTTTTTAATTAATTGCATGTTCGAATGTGGAAACTAATCTTGATTTACTTCTTTTACACTTCTATAGAATGATATTTTCACTAACTAATAATTAATCTAGGATCAATCATTTGAACTTGTTAAACATCCAACAACATCATTATCTACATTGGTCATTGATGTTCGTGCTAAACAATTGAATGAATTAATTCGATCAGGCAAAGAAGCACTTGAACATCAAGATTCACTAACTCAACAACTTGATAAGCATTTGAATGATCTGCATCTTAGTGGAACCGGAGAGGTACACTCCGTATATCCGCTGAAAGAAATGTTTTTTTTCCTTTAAAAATGAAGCTTAATACTGCATGCTTGTTGCTCATATTGATTCAAATAGAAATCTCTTTATATTAAATTCTAAATTGAAAGAAAAAAATAATTTATTTTATTTATAAAAAAATCTTTTTCAACATTTAGACATCACCATCAAATGCTGACGAATCGACGGTATTGTCTTCATCCGATCAACAGTCTTGATCCTGTGCAATAAAGCAATCGTTTTCTTATTTATAGCTAGTTTATATTCATTTATCATAAAGAGAGAAAGTAATTTTTTTTTGTTTTGTTATTTCTTTTCAGTTCAGTGTTTTTTTTTTGGTGCTGCTTTTTTTCACTAATATGGCTCTGGTTTATTTATACTTTGTTGTTTCTTTTCTTGTTTGCTGTCGTCTTTTACTCTTTTTCTTCTTGTTATTATTGTTATTTTAAGAAAAAAACACATCTATAGTGATGATTTTTGTCCGAAATAAAAAAAAAAACAACAACAACCAAGTAGTTTATTTTCATAAGTCTTCATGTTCTGTTCCATACCGTCTTACCACTGTTGTTCGTGTTTCATTATGAAAATGAACATAGCCATTATGATGTATATCAATGTATTTATCAACTAATGGTTCAGATGTTCGTAGAATATGCATACGAAATAATGATGAACCAAAACGACGCCAATGTTCACGACTAGCCGCACATACTTGATAATATTCAGAGGATTGTATTAATGATACTGGAAAGATATTTTCTTCAACCGATACATCAACACATGAATGCCAAAAATTAACAAATATTATTGAATGAACAGATATTGTAAAAAGAAAGAAGAAATAAATTATAAAATAAGATTGAAGATGAGTGACGAAATGCATATTTTATTGTATGTAAATGAAACGACTATTTCGTGTATATATGATAACGATGGGTAGTAATTGAAGCGGAACGAAATATGAACGAGGAAAAAAAAAGAAAGATACTTATGTAATTCACGTCATAACTTTTCTAAGTTAGCCGGTATATTACGAGTTCATAGGTATATTAGAACACTCGAGACAGTGTCGTGATTTTATGCAATTGTTAATATATATGATATTTTAAACATTGAATAATCGATTCGGTCTGTTAGAATCTAGGTCAAACAAGCACGGTCGTAAACGGCCGTGTATGGAGAAATACGGTGATTTACATGGTCCAGTAGTACGATCGTATATCTTCGTGGCGTATACGGAGAAATAAACGGTCGTTTACAGGCGTATATGAAGTCCATAGTCGTCGACCTGGAATGTCTAATTAAGTTAAGTAACCAGAATTCTGATGAAATACTTATATATATATATCGAAATCAAAGATTTAGTTAAAACCAATTATAATGCAAGTTGAGTCAATATCAAATTGTTTTCTAGTAATTTACTGATTTCAATCGTAGCTATAATTATAGAGTTTGTCTTTAAAGTCTCTATATCGCAATAAATCAAATGTGGGATTTTATCAACGAAAAAATTATTTGTTTATGAATGTTTAAAAACAATTGTTTATTTCAAATTGTACGAAGAAAGAAAGTGATGATCTTAATATATCTTTGTTAAATACGCAATAAAATGTACCCGAAAGAAGAAATGATGTATTCCATTACTTCTTTCTAAGTTAAACAAAGGAAAGAAAAATACTGTATCCTTATGGATTTATTCGTGTTTTATTGATAAAATATTTTTTTTGTTGTGCCAACAGCTTTTTCCTTCCATGAACTGAAGTTAATAAAATTTCCGTGCGTCGAAAGAAAAATGCGGTGTTATTGATCAAGAATATTAATAGGTACTGTTAATTCACCAAAATTTAATATAGCAATATGATGTATGTTATTTTTAAGCAACAATGTTAAACAAAACGGTGACGAACAACAAAAAGCTCTAGGACTTTCATTGTTGATTAGTTTTGTCGAGAAGTTTAGAAATGTAAAGTTTCAAGTCGAATTTCCAGCATATGTTTTCAATGTCAACACAAATGACAGAAATGAATTGCTGCGGAATTATATTCTTTTACGAAGACCTATCTCCACCATTTACAATTACCGAATAACAAGAGAGGAAGGTATTTACCTATCAAAGTTTTGAGTATCAAATTTCAATCAGTTATGCTTTATTTGAGGGCTGGACGATATCCCCGAAAATCGAAAAATAGTTTCGCTTATAGCAGAAATCCTTCACCCCATACAAAGTCAAGCAGAAATACTTTTCATAGCGAAACACAATCCATCACTAAATGTTTTCAATTAGAAACGTATCAACCATATCTATCTTCACAAGGAGAAATGTTTAATATACAAGGAGAAATCGATCAGATTATCCTTACAATATCAGCAGAAAGGAATTAAATTATTTTTCACGGTAAGGAGAAATTCTAGTAGAAATGGATTATCTCAAACAGAGATGTAAATATTTCTAACAGAAATTCTTCATCCATCTTAACGTTAATAAGCAGAAATAACAAAACGAAAAATAGGTCATGGAGTAGAGATTGATAGAGATATGCTTGTATTCTTTCATTCTGTTTCTCCTCGCTGAAGTATTTCTTCATGGTAAATTAAACGTGATAAACATAGGTTTATATTCTTTTTTTTTTCCATTTCTTCTTGATACGTATGACTTTTTGTGGGTGAACCATTTCTCCTTAAACGGGAACAATTATCCCATCAATTGGTCCAATCGTCCACTGCTGCTTTATTTAAAACATTTCTTTCTATAACAAGCATAGCAAATTTGAGGAACTAAACACTTTTCGATACTTTTAACTGATATTTTTGTGATTTTGTCAGCATTGTACGCTTTTTTCTTCGAGTTCAGATAGACTATGGAGAATTACATCGCAATGTGTGAATGATTTCTTGACACCAGATCATGTCATGTTATTAAAAATGAATCCAAAAATGTAGTCTATATGCTTTTCTGGAATATTTTCGATTCTATTCAGCATTTTGATCACTTACACACTTTGTAGACTTAAATAGACCTGGAAGAAAACATCACCTAAATACTTTTGCCAATTTCGACATATATATATGTATATACAGTCCACGTAAATTGAAAGTATACCCTTTGAATTTTTGTGCTTTCATTGCCATAACTTTTTTGTTTTTAAACTTATTATATATAGAGAGAAAGTGCAGAAGTTGCTGCATCTTTTGGTACATTTATTTTGAACATCAAATGCGGTTTAAAATGTAAAAAGTGTATTGAAAGAAAAAGGACATTTTTTAATTTACACGGTGTCCATAATATTGTAATATTTTTTTATTTGGCGCATATTTCTGCTTAGATAAATGATAAAACTTTGAATTTTTTTTCAATAGATGCGGTGTGAAAAGCTCTACAAAGCCGTATGATTGAATCCCTTTTTACCTGTTTTAATGGTTTTTTCTATACTCAAAATGAACAACTTTTATAGCAGTATCCCTTCCGATCATACTGAAAATGTTGGAAGACTTTTTTGTTCTGCATATATCTCGACTTGAGAAAATGATGGAATATCGAACTTGTTTTTAAAAGATGCACCCTTAAAATCTCTACAAAACTTGTATAGACCAAATCCTACGGCGAATCAGAAAAGTTCTCGAAATATTTTCTATATGATTGTACGTAATACTGTTACTTATAAGTTGTTCGTTTTGAGTATAAAAGAATTATCGAAACAGATAAAACGGATTCAATCATGCAGCTTTTGCAGAGCTTTTCACAGCGCATCTGCTGAAAAAAGAAATTTAAAGTTTTATCATTTATCTAAGCAGAAATATGTGCCAAATAAAAAAATATTACAACATTATGGACATCGTGTAAATTAAAAAATGTCCTTTTTCTTTCAATACACTTTTGACATTTTAAAGTACATTTGATGTTGAAAGTAAATATATCAAAAGATGCAGCAACTTCTGGGCTTTCTCCCTACATATAATAAGTTTAAAAACAAATAAATTATGGCAACGAAAACACACAGACTAAAACGGGATACTTTCAATTTGCGTGGACTATATATATATATATATATTAAAGATGGAAAAAACAGGATTTTGTTGTGAAGGTAGAGCGATGTACTGAGAAACCATTGTCTGTGACTGATAGTAGAAATGCATTTTTCATTGTCAAAATGCAAGTTTCTGCTTAGGTTAAAGAATCACACTACGTGACCAGCATAAAAAACTGCATACATAGAATGTATTTCTCAAGGAATCTAAAACAAAAATTCTTTCTCAAACCTTTCGAAGAGTATTACGAGAGTCTACAATACTTATTTCGAACTAGCGGAAAACAAAGTAGTGAGGAACATTTTTTGTGATCTCATGATTTCTTTGAAACCAAAAAAATATTTTAAAATTATGGCATGAAATGGTTACATCCCAACACTTCCTTTTAATTTTATTTATAGTTCTGATACACACTAGAAAGTGATTATCTCCCTCTTACGGCAGATTAAGCTGAAGTTTTCAGAAAGTACCCTTCTGATAAATGTCTCGGAACAAAATTTCAAAATCCAAAAAAAGAAATATTGAAATGACCGAGAGATAAAAGAGAGCCATCTTCCAGATTGGGGCATTTCATAGTTTACGCCTTCCTTGCATAGTTTGAGACCAATCAATCTCCGAATAGTGTCAAAATGAAGAGAAATGTTCTTAAGAGTGCTATACATTAGCTCACTTTTAATAAAGCGTCTAGAATGAAAATAGAAAAAGGAATAATTTGATTGTTTGAAAACGTCAATTTTATCAGATCACCAAAAATCATTTATAGAGAAGATATAGATAAAAATAAAAATCGAATAATGTAGCCCACTTGACTTGATTTCCAGCTTTCAAACAAAAGAGAATGAGTTCAATCCAATCAAGACTAGAGGAGTGGAGTAAGCCATAAACTAAGATGAGTAATTTAATCAAACTTAGAAGCAGAGAAAAAGACACAAAACAAAGTTGAGTGATAAAAAAGCAATTAGCTTTTAGTGATGACAAAACAAGAAAGACATCACGATCTTTCAATAAGAAACATCTTTTAAAGACAAATATGATGGTATAATCAGAAAAATACAAACTATGAAAGGGTGTGAGTGTATTATAATCGTTGTTAGCATTTCGTTTGTTTCCTTTCGATATGTGATATATATATAAAATGTTATATGTGCTGATGTATACGCACCAACTTTATTATGTAAGAAATGGAAAAACAATCGAAAACATATAACATATATACGGAAGAACAAAAGAAAAATAGATATCAATAGAGATTAATAGAAGATGAAAGAGGACAAAGGATAACCAGAAGATACTAAATATATTAACATGCGACATCACCGTAACAATTCTAGAAAGGATCAGTTACGCTTCTTTAGAAATTATCAAAATTAGGATGATAGTGACCTCTGTCAAAGCCATCAAAATTTGCAAACTTCGTTGCTTATTTCTGAAAGGCTTCATCAAAGGTTACCATTATCAAGCAAAAACAAAAAATCGACTTTTTCATCAAAAAAAAAAGATTATTTATGTTATGCACTAAAACCTTAAGAAATACTAAAATTTGGAATAATATGAAGAATTTGAAAAAAAGAACAGTTGATTTGCTACTTTGACATCAAAACTCTTCGATCGTTCATTCTTCACCTCACAAAAGAACATAGAAACGGAGAGCGTGTTGTCACAAGCAAGATCAGTCTGTTCAAAAAGTCAACTAAATAATATAATTGCTGTTGAGTTTCCATTCATATCATTGGATCAAGTGAGCAGCGACGTCGAAATTCTTGACCTCGTTCATGAATCCATTTGTTCGCTACCCATTTATTACCAATCATTACAGGGCATCCTGCATACGGCAAAAAACAAGTATTTGTGCTAGGAAACAAAATGAACTATCAAATTTGTACCTGCATGTCGAGTTCTATAGTCGCCTAAAAAAGAAGAATCGATTACCGAATAACTGACATTTAACAATCTATTACATATTACCTGTGCCAGATGTATAGAGATTATACCAAAATATGGCACTGCCTTTTTCAGGTGTGACACGTACACCGATCTCAGTAAAGACTGTTGCACCGCCCTGTTCAACATCGTTTAGCTGTAGAAAGACGCATGAAAGATATTATTTCGTTATTTAATCACAAACAACTTACATAAGTCAACCACGTAGCTATTCGATTACCTGAAAAAATCATTATTCAATCTATTTCATATGTTAATACTTTACACTTATCAGCTTTACCATCACTATCCAATGTGTCTTTGTTTGATTTCTATACGTCCTCAAACGCCAATGCATTATTTAAAATAATTTATCAAAGCTGTATCTTACCCTTGAAAAGTCAACATGAACATCGTAGTGACCACCAATGCCATAGTTCCCAATCTAACTCGATAAATAAAATACATTCAATATTCATCATAAATGATAAAACATTTACTTGAAGAGATTCAGCTGTTTCCATACTGAGATTTGTTGTGGCACTGATTAATCGGGATAGGCGAGCCACAGCTGGTGAGTCTTCATCTTTTAACCAAGTACTAAAAGTTAAACTCATTAATATGCTTCTACACAGGAATAATTAAGTTTACGACTAATGAATACATAGAACTTAATTGTATAAATAGTTATGTAAAAGTTCTTTTACAAATCATTCCTCAATATTTTTATGAAGAATTATATGTTAGAAAAACGAAAAATGATTATTTAGAATATAGATTTCTAAAGAGCTATCTAGCATCCAATGAATGTAAGTTGGTTGTATACTGCAGATTTTATTGGATAAAATAGATAAATTTTAAGTGAAATGTTTATTGCAACATGTATATTTCTTTTTAAATACTCAAACTCATACGCAATAATATTCTTATTATTAAGAGAAGAAAAAATTGTTCTACTGGTGTAAGTGTTATTTATGTTATCTATAGTCGATTTGAATGAGCTATTGTTGGATGACAAGAAAATAAAAGTCATGTTCACATTATTGTTTACTGGTGAACCTGTAGATAGTAATAGGCAGAGAAAAGAAACATGCTAAGTTCTAATACATACGCATACTAAGCTAAACTAAATCAGTAAAGTTTGTTCCATTTTTAAATGGTAAAAAATTTGGTTTAGATTTTATTGATATATTCTTTACAGAGTATGGATTTTTCTTTTTCTTCTAATATCAAAAAGTGCTGCATATTATAGAATATTACGTTACTCAGCATTTTTCGTATACTTGTGAAATAAAGTCTAACATATAGTGTACCATATGAGTATATAGAATGTATGACGTATGTTATTATGGTTGTCCTGTCGAAGTCCACCAAAGATGTATCATACCTACTATTTTGTGACATATACAACATTTACTCTATGCATAACCTTGGAGATTTCAATACACTTGAAAACCATTTCTCACAGCCATCATGATAGTGGTAGGCAGAAAATTCTTTTTCTATTTTCCTCATGTGCTTTACAATAAAATATACATATCATTCAGCCTCTATATTAGCAATTATTTTTCATTCATTTTTTTGTCCAATGGTATAATTCAATTGTGGTTGACTCATAAGTGTCAGCTTGTTCAACGATATAAGAAAAAACTAGCTACAAATGTTATCTACCTTTTACTGATTCTGTAGTCGACCGGTGCTTGTTTACTAGATTCGGAGTTCACTACCACCACAGCACGTTGTAACTATAAAGTAAAAAGGACAAAGTTAACTTTTTTAAATGTTCGCCGTTTTTGTTAGATGATCAGTGCTTTCATTCATATTCATTCTCCAACTCACTCGTGGTGTCGCCAAAGATTTAATTTCATCGATATCAGCATTTCGAATAATATCATGATAAAGAAGGATTTCTGGCTTGTCAAATAATTGTTCTTCTTTGATTGGCATCCATAGTAGATATGGATGATTATTATGACGATATCGACAGACTAATTTAGATGCACGATGTGGATCCAACTTGAATACAAATAATATAAGAAACAATATTATTTTCAAGGTATACTTATATTGCTACCTTAGTGTTCGTGTCTCGGCAAAGTTTTTCAACAGGTTCTAGCTTTTCAAGATCCTTGCCCAATCTTTGATTATTCACTTTGTAGTTCTTCTTGTTTATTAAATCGTTTTGCGATGGTAGTGATTTGACAGTGGTACTTGTTGAATCACTATCATTAGGACTATCAAAATCTTTTATTGCTTGTGGTTCGATCAATGTTCTGTTTTGAAGAATATATTCAAAATAATCTTTATTGGCTAGCGCACGTTCATTACTAGGATCTACAAGAAACAACAAAATAACATTCTATTCTTCAGTACAAATACTCTTCCTGAGTGAATAATATTCGATTACTTATCGGCTATTGTCAATTGATACCCAAGATTTCAATCAGATTGTCGGTTTTTCGCTTATAGAAAAGATAGAAATCAACATAATCTCATACAAATCTCGATTTTATATTACAATCATCTGAATTATAATCAATTTTTTTCTGAATTCCACGTGTTCATACTCGAAGAAAATATATAACACTCATAAGCGACAATTGGTAGAAACGAATTTCAACAAAGGCAAAAGAAATTAGAAGATTCTCTTATATAAAATCAAAGTATAACTAGAAAAATTTGCTTACCGATTGCAAGCATTTCTTCGGAGAGTGCAAGAGCATGTTCGATGTTACCTTGCTAAAATAAAATAAGAATGAAAAGATATGGAGAATGCATGTTCCTATTTAACAAACATCTGTAACAGATGTCACATAAAAATTTATCGATGTGAAACTAGCATGACGAGTAGCTACCATGACAGATTCAGGTGAACTTGGAATCTGTGACCCTAGGCATTATGGGGACGCAAGTTGAATGAGGCTGTTCGACAACGTGTACACAAGCACCTGCACTCAGATCCCGCTCCGAAAAGTCCAAATATTTGGAATTTTAGGTTTATCTAAATC